TGCAGACGGGGGGGGGGCAAAGCAGAGCAAAGCAGAGCCAAGCCGCGGAGTGCGTGGGCAGCGGACAGGGATGTCCGCTGCCCACGTGTTCCGCCGCTTTGCTTCCTCTCCCTGGTCTGCTGGAGACAAGGGAGAGGAACGGCCCCGTTCGTAACTGCGGATCCGACATAAGTCGGATCTGCGTAACTCGGGGACTGCCTGTAATTGATTTTCTTATCAGTGTTGTATATAGCCCACACATGGAAAAAGTTCATTACCCCAAGTTTGAAGTGTTCTAGGTGGCTTATTCCGTTGACCAGTTTTTGCTTGGAGTTATACACCACGGGTGAGTCTACACTGGCAAGATTTTGTGCAAAAGCAGCTGCTTTTGCGCAAAAACTTGCCAGCTGTCTACACTGGCCACTTGAATTTGCGCAAGAGCACTGACTTTGTAATTTACAAAATCAGTGCTTCTTGAGCAAATACTTTCACATTCCCGCTTGGGAAAAAGCCCTCTTGTGCAAGAATACTTGATCAAGAAGGCCAGTGTAGACAGGAAAGAACTGTTTTGTGCGAAAGGAGAAGGGAAAAAAAAGAAAAACTTAAGAAACAAGATTTCCAGTTAGCACTTGTTGCTGACACCAGGCTTTGAAAAGGCCTGATCCAACATGTGCTTAAATCATTAGGATTTTTTCCACTGACTTCAGCTAGTGTTGGGTTGGGCTATTGCTGACTGTGAGGCTAGAAGCACCCTTGTTCAACCTCAGGCCATGCACCCTTTAGGATGTGGTTTGCAGGCAGAGATTACAACCAGGACTATGTGCTGGGCTGTCTGGAAAAATTCTGCCCTGCTGCTTCTGCAAAATATGGAAAGGTGGTAAACGATTCTCTAGACTTCCTTCCTTTTTTTCTCCTTAGTGCAACAGAGGGCAGGATTTGGCCCCAAACTTGAAATTTTAATCACACAAAGCACAAGAACTTCAGAATTGAGTTTTGCATCCAACAGAACTCTGCCTTGCTTGCCCATATGGATTGCAAAGGAGTCTTTAATTACATATGCACCAACACATGCGATCATACAACTTGTTATATTTTAGGGAAAAGATAGGGATGCTTTTCAAGGTATAAATGGGACTTAGGTATCTATCTTCCAGTAGTATTGAAAAATATCTAAAAAGTAGATTTTGTACCTGTAACACTTATGAATGTTTACACTTAGAATTCCAATTAGGGAAATGTCCGATACAGAAAAACAATACAGAAAGAATACAGAACTGTTGAGCTTTAGAGCATTCTTTCTGGGGAAGAGTATGAGAGCCAACATACCCAAACTAAGACTGTGTTTTAGGCTTACAGGAGCCCATATCAGTCAGCTCCTATTAAATATGCAGTAGTAGGTGGATTGTCCTGGGTCTCCATGAATGACGACAAATTGAAAACAAAATGCCATTTAGACATGCAAGTGTATCATACATAAGCTTGTAGCAAAGTGAGGACTGGTGATAGCACTTAGGTAAACAGCAGCACAATACCCCTATCTTCAGCCTTTTAGTGTTATTTGGTCAATAACAACAGAACATGGAAGAAAGTGATGGCAGAGATAAAATATTTAAAATAATAATAATTTAATACTTTCAAGCAAAGCACAAAAGCACAATAGCATTGCTGCCTGCATGTATGTACACAGGCTTCTTGAATTCTCACATTGGTCTCAGGGACAACTTTGATTTGGTGTTACAAACTAAGGGCCCGGTCTTGCACTAGCTCACATGTGCCAGCTAGAGGGGTGACATTATTAAAGCCATGTAAGGACAGGGGATATCCATACCATACGTTTTAAAAAACAAAAGAAATACTTTTTCTCATATAAACAAGATCTGTACATCTTCACCTTAATCACAAGTTTTGGGTGAAATCCTGGCCCCATTGAAATCAGTAGGCATTTTGCTATTGATTTCAGTGGAGCTAAGACTTCACCATGTGTTTTAAAAGAAGAAAAAAAATTCTCAAAAGTGCTGCTTCCATTCCCTGCTGGTCCAGATTAGCTCTAGCTTTTGTGCTGATGTTGGCATGACTGCTCAAGCTGTCTACCATCCATTCCCTTTATCACAAAACACAACCACCTCTTACTGCAATGGTAGATTGTTCAAGTGGCTTTTTCCAGAAAGAAATAACCTCAGGAAATACATTCATGAAAGTGAGAACCATCATACAATATCTGGATTTGGCCAAAATTTCAAAAAGATGGCTGCCTGAATTTTTGGCCACTAGCTGAAGACATCTTAACGGGGCCTAATTTTCAGAGGTAGGAGGCCTGTGTTTTCTGTAAATCAGGCCTTTGACATATGCACCGCTGTTGAAAATCTTGGTCTTGAGGTTTGGCATCCTTACAGCGTATGTGTAACTAATATTAAACATGTCAATGATACACAAGTCATCTTATTAACAAAACCTTAGTGAAGACAGAATGTAAATACTACCTACATGCTTGCAAATATGTAGAAAAAGTTGAAGTTTAAACAAACATGAAAAGTAAACCCTTGAAGCTCTATAAAATGTTGTAAGGTACACTGTTAAAGGTACAGTTTTCACTTTGAAATACAGTAAAAAAATATTACTGCATGTTAGCTTATAGAATAATGTAGTTCTGTTTTTTTATATATTAGTTGAATAGTAGGTTAAATGGACTAATGTTGCATGATCATGTAATGAAAGAACACAGGCCAAACTTTTCTCTCTCTGCTTCATTAGTGAAATTGCTGTGCAACTCTAATTCTAGTTGTGTTGTTATAATTTAATGTTATTTATGTCTCCAAAGTTGTTAATGATTCTTTACATACTATGACTCCAGTACTGTAAACACTTAAATGTGTGTTTTTACTCATGTGAATAGTCCCATTGACTATGAAAGGCCTGTTCACACAAATAGAATTCTACACATACATTTTTAGGATTAGAAGGGACTTAGAGGTAGACTCTTCTGCCGTAGAAGTGAATAACAATTGTGTTATTGACCTAATTTGAAGCAGTTTTGAGTCCATTCTTAGACATGTGGTAAAAGAGTAAGGAGGGTTTTGAGAGGAAAAAGATTCAATGAGATAAGCATTGTGTGCATACCTTGGTAGTTCCTTTTCTAAAATTATTGCTGTAGTCAGACTATGTGGTAAGTAATGCATAATGTATCACTTTTTCTGTAATTAACACCTGAACATTGGTGTTGCATTGAGTTTCTTGTATATCTTTTCTTTGCTTTTTAAATATAAAGGGAAAAAATAGAAAATTACATGGAATCCTGTTATCTACAGAGCTCAAATGGTTTACTTACCATATCTGAATTCCCATATGGGCATCCTTGTGGAGAAATGGTAACTCTTGAACTGTTCAGTTGACCACTTATGCCGCTGTTCTTATATACAAGACTTAAGTTGAAAAAGAATTCAAACTACAAAGATAGAAATGCATACTCAGAAGAATGCAGAACAATTCAAACACTGATGCAGGCAGTGTAGAATCTGCAATTAACCAGCTATTTCTAATACACCATTTTCAGAGTGTGCTAGGTCTGCTCTAAGATAACAGTTTTCAGAAATCCTGGAGGATTGTACCTCTTGAATTTTACAAAGCTGGATGGCAAGGAGCTCCTCCCCTTACCTGTCTGTTCCTTTTTAACTGTAGCAGTCAAACCCATTCCCTTCCTCCCACAGACAACCAGCATACAGCCCAAGTCCTTCCCACCTGCCAGGGAACCAACAGGATTCTCCTCACCAAGGCAGATTTCACTCTGCTTCTCCACCTACCTTCACACGCCTTATTCCATATAGTTCTGCCTTATTCTCCCTGTCCTGCTCCAACAAGTCCCCAGAACCTACCTATCATTTTCTGGCTGCCTTCTTCCTACCCTACCATACCCCGCTACTCCTGCTTCCCTTAGGGTATGTCAGCAGAGGCATGCCGGCAGAGGCATGTAAATTACTACCCGACATAGTCAATGAAGTGGGGATTTAAATATCCCCCACTTCATTAAAATAAAAATGGCTGCCGCGGTGTGCTTCATTTGCATAATGGCAGCCACACGTTCTTTCAAAAACAGGTATTTCAAAAGTGAAACTGCCGTCTAGATGCAGTTCTTTTGGGGGAAAAAAACTTTTTCAAAAGATCCTGTAAACCTCATTTTTTGAGGAGTACAGGATCTTTTGAAAAAGTTTTTTTTTCCTGAAAGAACCGCATCTAGACCACGGTTTCACTTTCGAAATACGCATTTTCAAAAGAACGTGCGGCCGCCATCATGCTAATGAAGCATGGGAAATTCAAATTCCGGCTTCAATTGCAATTTCAGTCTATCTAATTTACATCCCTCTTTCGAAAGAGGGATGTAGTTTAGACATGTCCTAAGTGTCATCAGCAGACCTAGTGGAGCTCACTTGCCTCCAGGTCACTGGCTCTCAGCTCCACTGGCCAGTCCCTGCCACTGCAGCTCTGCTGCCTTGGGGCCATTAGGCTCCACTCACCCTAGGGCTGCTAAAGCTCTAATGCCCAGGGACTTCTGGGACTCACTATCCCAGGGCCATCGTGGCTGGGCTCCCATGCCTCTCAGACACCAACACTGCCACAGCTCCACCATGTCAGGACTGCTATGGTTCTGGAGCTGCCAGGGCTCTGCTCCCTGGGGCTGCTGGACTCCATTATCCTAGGGCCACTGCAGCTTCCCAGCTCCAGCACTGCCAGGGCTCAAAGCATCAGGGCTTCCACGGAAGCCATGGCTCTGCTCCCCAGAGCCACCAGTACTCTGCTCCTTGGAGCCAGTGGGATTTCTGCAGCTTCGCTTCCCTGGGCTGCCAGAGCTGCTGTGGATCCGCTGTTCTGGAGCCACCAGGGCTCTGCTCCTCGGGGCCACAAGGGCTGCCATGGCTCTGCTGTCCCAGGGCTGCCATGGCCAACTCCTGGGCCACCCATCCCTCTGGTCCAGGCTCTCTCTGGTCCAACAGTATCCGTGATCCTACCAAACCACAGATGTTACTGAACCAGAGAGTCCCAGTTAAGAGAGGTTCAACCTATAGGAGTAGAAAAGGTTTACAGTGAAAATGACTGGGAGAAAAGTATAGTGGTCTTTGATTTATAACTGTAGTCAAATATGCCTCTAGTATTTCAGCAATCTGGTGTGTTTTCCAACTTTGAAAATTCTATACAATATGAAGGAATAAATTTTTCTCTACACACATAGAAGTCCACTAAAATTAGTGGGATTGCACACATGTAACTGGAAGCAGAATTTCTCCCAATGATGCTAATAACAGTTGTGTTTTCTCCTTTATATTGGGATATTATGGTTTCTAAAGGAGAGATTTAGAGGAGGAGGGAGTGATATGGTTTAAGGGAGAGCTGTTAGAGATTTCACATGCTACTTTTGCTTTTTTTTTTTTTTTTGATACAATGTGATAACTTAAAAGTACGTTTAGAGGCACAGAATAGAGAAATACCAGGTACGTTCTGGAAGATTGTTCTTGTTAATACATCTGTTTATAAGTTACCTTGAGAGATTTTCCTGACACATTTACTGTTCCTCTTTGACATTATGGTTTCTAGACTTGGTCAGCAGGTGGAATTATCTCAAGATTCAAATCGTACACCTTTCCAAAGCCTGGCAGCAAAAAGGTGCATAATACAGTCTTTGTAGGTTTTTTTGAATGAGTGAAAGGATTTACCCACACTTGGCTAACCTCACTTCCTTTCCAGCTTACTGCTAAAGCATGTGTCTGGCTACTAACAATTTCCTTGTGTAAATTTGATAATCTTTTTGCTTATAATCCTTGGTTTATCTAATCACAAAACATATGCACAAATGTGGTCTTGGTTAATTAAATTAAACCAATACCTAATCCTTAGCAATGGTAAAAAAAATTAGCTAATTTACTCCTCACATCCAGAAATGTTAGCACTGTTACCAGTATGCCTGAGATAAAATATAAGGGAGATATATTTAAAAATAATGAATTATACTAGCACAAAACTATTATTAGTTGTCAGAAAATTGGCTTGTGTTATGCATTAGTGAATACATTTAGGGTCAAATATTCAAACAATCACTAAAATGTGCATAGAAGTCCTACAGAATTTATGTGCACAGATTATGTCATTAAGTATTGGGGTTGATCATGCACTGTGCAAGTGCACAATGTTGCAAGAATAAACACAAGGGAAAAGGTGATCAGGGTTAGGGGATGCGGGAAAACTCAATTCTGCATTAAAGAGAATCTCTTGAATGGCCAACAAGTTACCTCTTCACAGTGATAGGTAGAGAGTCAAAGCCTCAAGCACATACCTAACAGCTTCATTGCATGTTGAGAATAACACTTTGGTCCTTTCTTCATCCATCTCACCCTTTTTTATCCTATGTTCTTGAGAGTAAAGAAGCAGACACAAAAGACGCTTACAATTTACTCCTGGTCAGTGTGAAGAACTATACTATGCTTAGTGCTTATCTTATTTGTCATGCTGGAGCACAAAAAACCTTTGCTGTCTGGCTGGGCACCAAGTAGGACTTGCAGAAGAAGGCCCTGCTGTAAAAGCTCCATTTGCATGCACATGTGTGCCCAAAGCTTTGGACACACATTTTTAAAGCCCATCTGAAAAGGATGTTGAATATGAGGAGTGTGGGTGCTTTTATTTGATTAAACTGATGTTGATTAATCAGCTCCTTGGGGCTTCAATTCTTGGCAGGTATAGATGGGGGGAAAGCTGCTATAAAATCATCTAGTATCAGATGGGGATTGATGCAGATCCTGGATGGTGCACCCACATCACAAAAAGCAGACAGCCTCTGTAAGAGAAGTTATAATATTTCACAAATCTTCCAGTTTCTTCCCCAAACTTACCAACATGACATAAATCTACTGCAGACTGAGCCTCAGATAGCTCACCCTCCTCTAGATTCCAATCTCTGGTAGACATAGACAAGAGTGAGCCCACAACCACTGCATCAGAGGGACCTAGAAATGGACTGTCAGCATACCCGCAGCACCATAGTCCATTTACCTTCAATACTTTTCTCCCACCCATCCTTTTCAACAGGTTCACATGTACACTGGAGCATAGGGAACATAGAGTGGAATTCTGTGGTGAGCATGGTCAGAAAAGAAAAGTCACTGGACATCACTGTATCTATAAGCACTCAGGATATGTCTACACTACAGAGTTTTGTCGGGAAAACGGCTGTTTTTCCGACAAAACTTGAGGAACGTCCACACTACAATTGCATTCTTCTGCAGGAAAATTGAAAGAACAGAGGGGTTTTTCCAGCATTGGTAATCCTCATTCTACGAGGAAGAAGTCCTTTTGGAGGGGGAAGAGGGAGTTTTTTCAGAAGAAAAGGAAAAAGCACAGGTGTCCTCGTGGCCATTCTGTCCATTGCAATCACAGCTTACATGCTAGCGAGCGTCCATTCAGTCTGGATGCTCTCTTTTGAAAAAGCAGATCCATTTTTTTCATGCACTTTTGCAATGTGGACGCTCTCTTTTGGAAGACGTTTTTTCAGAAGATCTCTTCAGAAAAAAGCTTCTTCCAAAAGAAGCATGTAGTCTAGAAGTAGCCTCAGCAACAAAAGACTAGCCAACCACCAGCATCCTTATTTGTTCCTTCTTCAGCAAGTCCGTACACCACCTAACCAGTGGTACTGCAAGCAGCTTATGCTACCATCAATGACTCCTAGCCTTTTTTCATTTTAGGTGACTATCAACATTCATAACCAATACATTAATAGTGTTTTATAAGACAAACTATTATTTCATTATATTTCATAGAAAAGTCTGTGTCCAAGGATTTAAAGAGATTTTCAAAGACAGAAATGGAAGGACGGGGAGAAAGGGGTTTACACTAGGGGTAACTTACCCACGGCCAGTAACTGGCAATATAGAGAGTCTGGGCCCCAACTGGCCACTCTCTTGCTGTTGTAACCATTCTTCTCCCCCCCACACACACCCTGCCTTTGGTCACTATGTAGTATAGCTGGCCCTCCTTTCAGACCCCCCTGTCTTTCCATATTATGGAAAACAATTAGATTCCAGGTATATCCTATTTTCCTGGCATAACCAAACCCAAACCTTGCTTTAAGTTAGGATAGGAGGAAGCTGTATACCAAATTTGGTGGTTCTAGCTCTTATCATTCAGGAGGAATTCTTTAACAAATGGACTCACAGACAAAAATACAGACACAAACTTTCTACAATAAATATATAAATGTCAAACCAAATGTTTCCCGGGAGCTTCTTCAGTGACTCAAAATAGGCAGTTAACGTATTATTTTAGATAAAGGAAGTTCAAGTCACCTTGTGAAAAAGAACATCTAAATCAACTAGTGCCATCTACTGGGGACTAAAATGTCTCCAACAATACCTTAATAGAATAGTAAAACAAACACACCAAAAGCTTTACATCTCTTTTCTAGATGCTAAACAATTAAAGGAGGGGGAGGGAAGATTTAATTAATATTTTACAGTACCCAATAAAATGCAACCCAGTTCTGAGTGGAGCAACTGTAACATAATACAAATAACAGGCAAGATATTAGCTTGGCCTCAGCACCTGCATAGGGTCATGAGTGAGCATAAGATATTGTGCTACTTTCATATATAAGTATTTTATGAGTAGGTAACACTGCTTCCCCAATTTTGGATGCAGTTTTGCCAATATAAAAGTGCCTACATCAACCTATACAGTCAGTTCTTGAAAGGGAAGGGAAGTGTATAATTGTGCCCACAGGAGAGGTTATTTATACCCATATAACTATTGGAGTTAAAAAAAAATACCCCTCCCCCCACGAAACAATTACAGGCAGTCCCCGGGTTACATACAAGATAGGGACTGTAGGTTTGTTCTTAAGTTGAATCTGTATGTAAGTCAGAACTGGTGTCCAGATTCAGTCGCTGTTGAAACTGATCAGTTTCAGCAGCGGCTGAATCTGGATGCCAGTTCCGACTTACATACAGATTCAACTTAAGAACAAACCTACAGTCCCTATCTTGTACGTAACCCGGGGACTACCTGTACT